GCTGCTTGGCCAGGCTTCCTTGGTAACCTGGGAAAACCTTGCTTTTGTGCTGTAGTCGTCTGATGAACACCAGTTCAAGATACCATGCATGAAACTTGTAATGCCCAATGAATGGCAATCCCCAGATGATAGCAAGTAGGCCAGAATGAAGACAAAGGAAGCACAGAGTGGGAGGAGGATCTCAAGGAATAGTCAATTGATTCAATTTCTTTCTCTGCTTCCCCTCTCAGCCTCTAGGCCTCTCTCCTGTCTTCTCACCACCTACGCAATCGTCAACCCTTCTATCTCCGAGCCAGTGTCTCACTTACAAGCACGTCTCCAGTATATAAAGTCGCCCCTCCAAAGCAATGTCACACAGGTGCAATGAAGAATAACAGTGGTTAAAGCTACGCGGGCCTGCAGAATCCCTTCATTCTCAACAACGACACCAATAAAGACCAGGTGAGCCTCTCTTTTCTCTCTTCTTACCATAGGATATGGCCGCCATCAAACCTCACACTCTCGTGCTATGGTATCGTGCATGGGCACCTTCTATCCCATCTATGACTGCCCTCTCTCACTATATGTCTGCCTTATCCCAAATGCTGGTGCTCAAGCAGATCACCAGTCAAGCCTCGAAATAGCACAAGGTGACAATGCAAAATGAATGCACGACCTGGGGCAGACCCACTATTTGTAGCATTGACTTGCCCTGGTCTGCGTCCCGTTGCCCCTTCGCGTGCAGAGATTTCCTGCCACCAGTGTGTGGCTTGACCTGGTGATCCCTCAAAGCTTCCTAGACGGTATTGAGCTTTGGATTGTGGGTGTTCTGCGACTCCTGAGAAATCTTCGATTCTTTCACTTTTCGGCCCAGATTGGGCCTGACTGTTAAGTTTACTGGGGCTATGTTGACTGCTGGAGGCCTTGGGTGCCCTTATATTTGACCCTTGACCCCAGAACTGTGACCTAAGAACTTTCTAGGGATTTTTCAAGTATTGTATGTCCAAGTTTTGTTCCCGGAATTTTTATCTGGCCAATAGCTACGACCCTAGGTCTTCATCTTATTCCGCTTTCACCTTGGTTCCTTTCACTTCCGTCACGGCCTTTTTTTTTTTTCCCACAGCTATTATACTACGACCCTATAATTTTGAGTTCCATTGCAGCTAGTATGCTGTTTGCCAGCTACAGCTTCTCTCTGATTCCCTCGAAGTTTTCTTTGATGACCAGCGGCTATATCAGGTGCAGTTTTCATCAGTTCTTGTCTTCTGAGCAATCTGTCCTCAGAAGCTGGTTGAGACTAGAATCTGACTCGATACTGCTTCTGAGGTCTGCCTCATCCTCCCGTGGAGTTGAAGTCGTGTGCTTTTATTGACTGGGCAGTGTACTTCATACGCTCTGTCCATAGGCAGTGGAATCATAGGTCTACAATTAGGAAATCCATCTCTTTTTTTGTAGGGTAAAAGTTTCGATGTGTGGACGGCAAGATGGGCTCCGAGAGGTGGTGGAATGTCAATGACATAGGATGGACCATCTTGCTCTCCCATGGTTTTGAAAATGTCTCATTGACGGAAATAGACAGGCAACAAATTTTGAGTGATTCCTTCTTCAAGGGATGACTCATTCCTTGTCATTAGACTTAAGTTACTTAACCAACAATATATTGTGTTGCCTTCTTTGAACTGTGAAGGTCCGCGTTTTTTACCTTCCCCAATCTTCCTGCTTTCGGCTTTCCGTATCTTCTCCTTGGCTTTGGGGATATCTTTTCCTTTTTTTTTTGTTTTTTAAAGAAAAAAGAGCTTGTTTTTATTTATATATATGAGCAAAAGGAGGCCGGGAATCCCTCCACATCTCAACCTGGAATACTGTGGCCAGTACCCAGCTTGGGCTTTTACTGGAGAAGGTCCAGTGTCCCATTCTTCGGGGATCTCCCCTAGCTAGTCCTCCACCTAATTTTCACAGCCGGCCCCACGGGAGCTCAGCTAAAAAGGGGAAAATAATGGAAGCCAACCAGAGGCTACTTACTCATCCTGGAAACTAGTTTCAGTTTTCTCCTCTAAAACCCTAAAGGGCCTAAACCCCGTTCCTCCCCCTGCCTGCTACTCGATGTCTGCCTCTCCTGTGGGGACCCACCTGCTGTGTGAAGGCCCTTTTTTAAACAACCCCGAGTCCTCTACGATCAGGTCTGAGCCCGCTCAACACCCTCAAGTCCTCTACAATCAGGTCTAAGCACGCTCTCAGCTGGAAGGCTGTCAGGTTGACGTCCCTGCCTGCTGCTCGAACTCTGCCTCTCCTGTGGGGACCCTCCTGCTGTCCCAAGGCCCTTTTTAACAGCTCCGGGTCCTTTGTGGTCTGGTCTAAGCCCGCTCCTCTCAGCTGAGAGGCTGTCAGATTGGCGTATTCGGCTAGAGCGGGGTTATCCAAACTGAGGCCGAAGGAATGTTCCATTGTTGTTCCTCACGTCCTGAGTCCCAAGCTTTCGTGGATGTTTCACGTGCTGCCGAGGGTCTGTTCTGCGTCTGAGGGTGTTTGGGAGGCTGTCGGAACGCGGTCATCGTGAAGCTGTTGGCTCGCCAGGGTGCCCCAGGCAAGTCTGAGGGTGTTGCCCATTATGGTCCCCAGCTTACCATTGCCCAGCACGTCTCTTTTGAAGTTGTCAATGATGTCCGTTTGTTTGGTTGGATTGTCTCGTATATGTTTCCTAGTTCGGCGCCAATCTCAGTGATACTCGATAAGGAGGGTCTGTATGAGGCCTTCCCATGCTTCTGCCTCTTCTTCTTCTTCTTCTTCTTCTTCTTCTTCTTCCTCGTCTTCCTCGTCGTCCTCATCTTCCTCTTCGTCCTCGTCTTCGTCCTCGTCTTCGTCCTCGTCTTCGTCCTCGTCTTCGTCCTTGTCTTCGTCTTCGTCTTCGTCTTCATCTTCGTCCTCGTCTTTGGCTTCGTCCTCGTCTTCGTCCTCTTCTTCTTCTTCTTCTTCTTCTTCTTCTTCTTCTTCTTTTTCTTCTTCTTCTTCTTCTTCTTCTTCTTCTTCTTCTTCCTCCTCCTCCTCCTCCTCCTCCTCCTCCTGCTGCTGCTGCTCCTCCTCCTCCTGCTGCTGCTCCTCCTGCTCCTGCTCCTGCTTTGTCTCCCTCTTCGTCTCCCTCTTCGTCTTCCTCTTCGCCCTCCTCCTCTTCGTCTATCTCTTCTTGACCACCATGATGGCCGGGGAGTCCAGCAGCTTGGAACCGCCGTTTGAGCCTATGACTGGTGAAGAACAGGAGAGACTGGTGAGACAGACAAGTATATGGAAATGGGTTGATCAAGGGTAGAAGAAAGACCGGTCCGTGGAGGATGCGCTGGAGGCTCTGCAACAACTAGGACTGTTCCAAGAGCAATCAAACATTTCATCCAGCTGTCGGACACTGCACACTGCAAGCACACGAGTAGACAGAGACTTTGTAGAATTTGCAGGTACTTCATATCAAACTGAGGACGAAGCTGTGACTTTGTTCATGGGATATCTACTCTTCGTGCGTCGGCGGTGATGCCACCAAAGTTGATGTCCAAACTGGACCAGTATCCCAGGAGCACAATCCTATGAACTTGGGTGGGGATGATCACGAGAGAGGAGTTGATCAGCCTGGTCAATCGTCAGCGGAGGGTAGTGGCAGGGTTTTCCCCTCTATCGCCATTGACAATGAGGCAGTTAGGAGCTCCTGCCCAGCAGTTCCCTTAAGAGATTAGTGATTGTCTTAGGACTTCTGTTCTTGCTGCCGTTCACCCTCCACGACCTCCTCTCTCTATTCCTGGTGTGCAGCAGACTTTCACGAACAGCTCTGTGGTGGATGAAGTTTAAAGAGAGTTTGACAAAGCGGTTGCTTCATTCTTCTTCGGGCACCCGTTTCCTTTCTAGACTGGAAGGTCCGAGTCATAGAAGAAAGATAGAGAAGATAATGAATGACGTGGCGAGGTCAAGGAAAATCATGAAGGTTCCGTCTTACAACTTCTTGAGGGCTAAGGCCTTACTCACAGTATACAAGGCAGTGGAGTTTTGAATCGGAGAAGATGCGGGAGCCATGGGATGTCACTGGACTGGCGTTGATGACAGACGGCACAAAAACGACCAGCAACTGACCTGTGATCAACTTCATCGCAGCTGGAGATATGGGGGCTGGCATGGTGAAGCGTGTTGACATGGAGGCGAAGGATGAGCCAGCGCCAGCCTTGGCAAAGATATATGCGAAGATGTCATCAGGGAGTTGGGGATGACAACGGTCAATGCTGTCTGCACTGACTCAGCGCAGGTCGTTATGTCAGCAAGGAACATTTTGGCGAAGCACTTGGACCCGACGATGAGGAGCGTTCCATGGGGTGCCTTGTGCATGCCATGTTTGCAACCTCTCTTGGTGCTGGACTTCGCATATGTGCCCTGGATTGCAGATTTGATGTTGCAAGGGAGGGAGATCACAACCTTAATGAAGAGACGTCAAAGAGCTCTTTCCATTCTCTCAGGAGGGCAGGGGAGGATTACAGAAGTTGCATGGTCCTAACTCTACCGACAGACCATTGGAGTAAATCGTGTCAGGAGACCTGTACAGGCAAAGCGCAGTACAGCCCCCTCTTCAAAAAAAAAAACAAAAAAAAAACAGGGGAACTGATTGTCCGCAAACTGGTCAGCGGTGGCATCTTTGGTCAGCGCCTGTGCAGCCGTGCTGTGGCAGGGGTGATCTCTCAAATCATGTATTAGTGCACAGCTGGTTTGCAGACCCACCTCACAAAAATTGTGATGTTTGTTACTGCATGCTGTCTCAGACATTGAACATCAAAGTTTGCAAGTCAGGTGAAACAGCAATTGGTAGGTGATTCATCCTGATGAAAATATAGTTGTTGAGATTGCCGTTTAACGGAACTTTAACCTGTAATGCCAGATTTGTTTAAGGCGGTTTAGTACTGTGGGCTTGGCCTTCATAACTGGTTCTGGGCCGAGTACGTTTTCTAAACTTTCTTTGTGTTTGTTTTTCCCGTGCGTGCTTGGTTTGCAAACAGGCTTGCTTATCTGCATGAGGAGAGTGATCCGAAGATCATTCACCGGGATGTGAAGTCCAGCAATATCTTATTGGATGATGATTTCAATGCGAAAATGGCGGATTTCGGGCTAGCGAAGGTCATGAAAGATGAAACATCTCTCGTCAACACAAGAATCATGGGAACATTTGGGTGAGTGAGTGAGTGAGATGGCATTTCTATCATCATCCTTTTCCTCTCATTGGACAGAAAGTGAAGCACAATATCATCTCTTTTTTTTTTTTTTTTTTAATAATTTGGACCATTTCTTGATTTATGTGTGTCATCCTTGTGCAGGGGCCATGCTAATCTTCCTTCTCTGCATCATTCCAATTTGAACGTATGTCCCGAAGGACATCATTTTACTTTTTCATTGCATTCGAGTGTGTTGCTTGAAGTCTTTGAAAGGAGTGTTGATTGAACGTTGGAGGCGAGAACATTTACAATGCAGTGAAGAATTCAGATTGCAGATGCAATGAAACTGTGACGAAACGGACAAACAGGCCATGTAGTGACCCCAAGGGGCATTCTCAATTCAGCATGTTTGTCTCCTCTGTGCTTGATGCTACTGCAACCTGGGGGTGAAAAAGACATAGCTTCCAGTTGCGTGATTGTTTCTTTGTGTGTGTGTGTGTGTGTGTGTGTGTGTGTGTGTGTGTGTGCGAGCGCGCGCGTGTGTGCACTGAGGAATGTGGAAGTACCCTATGTCATACCCACACAGGTCGGAGTAACCACGTCAGCCAACTGAGAGCAAAGAACAGGTCGCAGGAGTGACTCACACACGCAACAGGGTAAACACCGTTTCAGGGCCCGTTGTAGTGCAGGTAATCAAGGGGCTGTTCTTGTCGATACTAATCACACGTAACGTAGCGACATGAGACGAAATCTGACGAATGAGGGAAAGAAACAGTGCACTTACCTTCTTAAACCACCACTACCTTACACAGGCAAGCGCAAAGTCCATCTAGTAGCCTACTCCTGAAAACACGGGGCTCGGGGCAGGGTTGGAGGCCGACGAAAAAAAAGAAAAAAAAGAAAAAAAAAAAAGAAAGAAAACAAAGATTCCCCACTCCAGGGATGTCGGGGAAAGCCCTCACGAGGGTGGAAGTTATACCAGTGCTTTGACGAATGTATCTGGCCACTATGTCGGACAAGGGATTGCAGTTCGTTTTTATTTTTGTTTTGTTTTGAATTCCTTGTAGTGGCTGGCAGGGCGTGTTTCACGGGTGACACGTAACTGTCTCACTGCTGTAGCATTATGTATCCGCCCTCAATCACAGGATAAGGGATTCCTTTTTTTTTTGTCGTTGCTTCTCTGTTTTCTTCCAGTGCACGCCCACACTGAGGGTACAGTCACACAAGCAACTCATGGAATGTATC